AAAATATGACACAGATACATAATGTACATTCTACATTTATTGAATAAACGGAGGAAATGAGAACAAAACCGAAGGTTAGGATTTTGTAAAGAGAAAAATGAGGAAACATTGTGTTAAAAAGATATAGATTATACACAGAACGTAACATAAATAGCTGGTAAAGAAAGTACGATGTCAGTTTAAGAAAAAATAATAATAATTAAAGTAAGAAAAAATGGCTGGCACACTCCGATGTAAACGCTGTAAAAGTGCCATTTACATCGAAGAGACACATTGTACATTCCTAGACAAACAGCGTTTAAAGAAAGTTTCAACACGGTGTCGTGTTGTGTATACAACACAGCGCGAGAATCACAACTCGGCTGTCAGTCACTTCTATATAGATGTATCGACAGTAGGATACACTCGCGTCAGTGGGCTGTGTTTTTGTGAAACAGGATTTGATTTAACAAATAAAGCTCACTGTTACAGTGATAGGAATGTAGTTTGTATGGATAAATATTTTTGTAGATGATGACGGCTTGTTCAGCCAAAATAAGTTTAACCACCGTGACATGATTGGGTACAAAATTATGTGGATGATTCATCGGGCGTTCGGATTTCTCGAGATGCATTAATGTTAAGCCCATTAAATATGAAAAAACACGGATGGAGATATCAGGACTTTAATATTTTAAGTCTCGCGACTACGATATGCACGTACGATTTTGTTTGGAGGGCGTATTATGAATTTTCCAGAACTTTATGTGCTAAGACCAGTTTACTTACATAATTTTACATTTTTTCATCTAAATAATTTAAAGATGTTTAGATGTAAAGAATACATGGTAAAATCGCAATTGTGACCAGAATATTTACACTGTGTTTACGTGTAGTAATTTTCTCATTACATTAAAACATTAAAAGTCAGCATAGCTGGTATCCTTTGTTAGAAATTGTGAAATGTACTAGATATTTCACATGAAGTTTCGTTCACGATCTTTTTGCCTTGTAAGCAAAACGGCTAGGTACACAAAACAACCTTATATTAAGCATCAAATGTTGGGAAAATACCTAACATTTCAGTACACTTGTCTTTGTTGATGTCTTGCAACAGTTTGTAGTTTTAAAGCAGCATTTCTTCAAATTTAATACACCATATTGAACATTATACATAAGGATGGATAAAAGCTGACCTAGTACGAAATATATTAACTTATTCGTAAGGAAAATTAAGGGAAAACACCTTAGAACTTATGTTTAACCCTTTTCCCTCGTATTCTAACACACAGAACAGCTGTCATGGTGACCCAAAGCAACAGGCAATCGGTTCAACTTTGCTGTATGCGACACGTCTTCACTCAACAAAGTGAAATGACAGCAATAGGAGAGTTAATAGATAGAAGGATGAGGGGAGGGTCGAGGATGAGGGAGGGTGGAATTATAGCTAGATATCGTTGGTTTGTAGACGCATATTTTTAATATTATACATATGTAACCATGTAGTGTTTAGTAATTTCATGGCCATCATATTGTCTCCAGGCTATAGAGACAACCACCGAGACGAAGTTGTCCTTGCCCGTCTTCAGATGGGTCATACATACCTTACACATTCATATATGTTGAAAGGCGAAGATAATCCTTGGTGCATAGGATGTGATGAGCCATTCACCGTTAAACATTTTTTATTGGACTGCATTGACCTTCTGTCTACTCGAGAACGTTTTTATCGTAACATTACATGTCTAAAATCCCTTTTTGAAACTATTGAGATTTGTAAAATTCTACTTTATCCGAAAGATGTTGTTCTATATAATAGACTATGACGTACCATTTTAATCTTTTGTGTTAACATACCCATTTAAGATTTTTAACATTTGTCTTTTACCTTTTGGTTTGTTTAATGCTATTTCCTTTTGGATATCTGTGTGTTTTACCGTTTGATGGCCCAAATGACTTTTTAAGTGTTGACGGGCCGTTAAGAATGTAATAATAATTATAATAATAATATTGCGGAACGGGTACCGGAAGTTCTCAGACCTGTTGAAGGCTTGTAGTAACAGTGATCATCTATCTTGTTGACCACTCATAGGTCTTCCGAATTCAAATTGCCGACCTGTAAACCCAGTCACTACTGCAATATGTACAGCTTATAACTGACAACAATCCGTTACAATGACAAAGGGTGTACAGTTTACAACGTTCTAAATTATCAAAATTAGTTCTCTGTTTCTAGCTTAAACAATTATCAAATTTCTTCAGAAGTTGCCTGACATATAACCTGTAACACATATTCCGCTTTTCGTTAGAAGACATTTAAATCGGCTTAATATGAACGTACTTACGAGACTGTCTTTTTATGAAGACTAAAAATCAGAATTGCTGTTATGTATTTATTTTCGTTAGAGAAAATTATTTTAGCTAGTGGTCTAATTATCTGATCATTGTACGATTACAAAGAGAATGCTTTGTTGTAACCAAGGCAATGACCTAGCATTCGGACAGACGGTAAGTTTAGAGATATCAAATACAATCGAACTTCGTTGTTCCGAACTTGTGTAACTCGAATACCCCGTTTAATTCGAAGTATTTCGTTTGTCTCGTCCAGTTTTGTCCCTTAACAATCAATCAAACTTAAATCGAATACTGGGATAACTCGATTTTTTCCAGTGGCCTAGCCGAATTTGAAATAACAAGGTTCGACTAATTGTTTAGGGTAGAAAATGGCCACGGACACATAACAATTATTGTAAAATTTAAGAGAAAGAAAAGGCCAGAACGTTCTTAGAATTCATATGACGATTTGAAATAATAAGAAAAGCTAGATTTTTAGGAGCGACACGAATTTTTCGCGGGCAATCACAGAAAGACTTGGAACATTTTGTGATATACGCTCTGTAATGAGATATATTTGTGACTCACGGATTTGCCTGTAGATTGGAATTTTAATAGGAATAGGGGTAGGGCAGGAGAATAGGGGGTAGGGCAGGAGGATAGGGGGTAGGGCAGGAGGATAGGGGCAGGAGGATAGGGGGTCGGGCAGGAGAATATGGGGTAGGGCAGGAGAATAGGGGGTAGGGCAGGAGAATAGGGAGTAGGGCAGGAGGATAAGGGGTAGGGCAGGAGAATAGGGGTAGGGCAGGAGAATATGGGGTAGGGCAGGAGAATAGGGGGTATGACAGGAGGATAGAGGCTAGGGTCAATATTTATCAGATACAATGTATATCGTTATTTTACTTCTATTTTCACCCTCTTTGTAATGTCATTTTCACCCTTAAACATTTCCAGTGGTAGACAATGTAAATTCTCAGTGGATGTACTATGAATAAACATAAAAACACCCGTGTTCCTGTATGAATTAAACAGGAAAATGATGGTATCTCTTTATTAGAGAGTACACGAATGGAAGCTTAAACCGAGGCTGGAGGCATTCACCACACAAGTCAGTTTGATCCAAACTTTACCACATCATAACCTTGCCTGATAACGGCAAGACTAATCTCACACCTAATTTTACAAGTTTCCTCTGGGCACAGGATGGAGAGAGATAACTGAAGACGAATTGTACACATGACTTGTCAAATGTCTCCGGGTGACCTTTGGCCTTATCGGGTTCCACCTTCGGGTCATGTCGGGTTTTATCATACAATTATATCGTAAATTGAGAATTTAAACTGCTATGTTACACTGATTTCCCATCTCATGTCTTACCTGTATTAATAATAATTCAGAACAAATATAGTAGTCTCTGGTCACATCTAATGCAGGTTTAGTTTCTCAAGGTAAATAACACACATCAGAGAACCGCAGATATCCTATTAAGATACATGATATCAAGTAAACACTTCGCCTTGAGAAATTCAACAAACGTACTACTGATGTTAAATAAAGACCTATGTTATACCTTTGTCAGCAGCCTTGTAACTATGTCAACTTAATCCAAACATCCAGTAGAAGGAAATGGCACCAAATATGGACATGCCAATTAGATAGGTATGTTTGGATGATTTTTAGATGACTCGTTGTTGTACAAGGTTTCACATCGCCTAATTGTTTATTTGACTTCATGAAACTGAGTGATATATCTTTTGTGCTGCAATACTGCAGACTGATACGCTTTGTCCAATCATATAACGTTAACTTCTTGTCTGAATTCAGTTTCACCACATGTTAAATATAGGCGGGTTTTATCGCCAGTCTTTCGTTAGTATCCGGTGTTACCCATTAGAACAGCATTCGGAAGACCCGTCGCATGCCGTGCATATCGACGCAACCACGAGATAACTAACAGTACGTTTGTCAGCTACCAGTGAAGCACAAACATTCTCGGTAGTACCTCCTGGAGTAGGTCAACGCGCAAACCGACTGAGCTATCGTCGCCATTTTAAATTAATTAGATAATTCTAGAACTACTCCTAAATGAGGACTGATCGGAGTAAAATTCTTTTAACTCGTAAAAATGTCGATATTTTTTCTCATCATTCTGACAACTCTCATTGATTGGGTTGTCCAGAAAAAGCTACAAAAATACCAGCATGACTGTAATCCAAACTCAGATTCAATAAAACTAGGGAACAAACAAGAAATTTACACAGAGACCCCTTAAAATGTACAAGGAGAATAAGACCAGGTGTTCCGACAGGTTATGTGTCGGATGTTTAATTATAGATTCTGTTTCCTGACTGGAACATTTAGTGTTGTGGTAAAATTAGCAGGTAATGTGGACGTTTATCTCGATTATTAAAGACACTGTCGAACAAAGGAACCTATTAAAACACCTCACTTACCTCGAATTATACTCTTATTCATGATTCTAAATGTTCGGAAGCCATGTGAAGAAAAATATTCAGTTTTTACGGTTTAGCAAAACGAAGGAATAGGCTACCTCTGTCTTCGTTTCATTTGTTTCCCTCTCAATATCGTCCATGGGAAACATGACCTTAATCGTATCTCTTCTATCATTTTTTATATGTAGCCCGAATTAAGACTTAATTATTTAATATTTTGTTTTTATTTTGTAGACGAATGGAACGTCGGATGGTAAACAACGTCATGTCAGTAATATCCAGATCGGAGGCGGTGTCTCTCCCCCGAGGAAGCGATCGTCCCAGTCCATACAACTACCGACCACTTCAGCATGGGGAGGAGATGAACGCCATTTCGATGTGTCTATATCAGAAGAAAACACACAGACTGAAGCTGCTCAGACGAAACAGAAGAATGGAGGGTCTGCATTGGAAGAGCGTGAACTGGACCCCAAATTCGGAACGACGACACTTTCGTCTGCGCAAGTCTCAGACCAACTGGTAAGTTCGCTTCGTCTTAGCGACATAAAGAAAGCATAGTCAGTGGCTTAAGATACATATTATAACTGCACCGCCATTGTCAGAATACATCTACCACATGTTTGCTGTATTCAGCAGTGACGGAAACAGTTGTATTTAAGCACGTGTATGAATTCAACTGACCCAATTTTTTATTTACTTATATCTGTTAAACATATGAATAACTGTTTAGATAAGCGATTATTTCTTGTTGTAACAAACGAATTGATTTACGAATTGGTTAATAATAATAACAATATAAATAAACTTTATTCATTGAGGATATAAAACATGTTTAGCCAACGGCTAATCTTCCACATGGTCCTCTGGTTAGTAAAATAACGTTAGTTAAAATCTACAAAGTTACATACACGAATCAAGTTTAAACTACAAACTACATATTAAACAACAATGGGATTTTAAACTACATCTTAGGAAAATAAATATCACACATTGATTAAAATAATCACAGAATGCATAATTACTCATGCAAAAATATTTCATCAATGAAATGACAGGTGCCTAATATACCTACATGCTAATATAGCAAACAGATAAAAATTGACATAGTTATACAATAATATAGCATAGTCTAAATTTAGGTCAATATGGTGGTAAAAAAGTTGAATAAGAATGGCAAATATATCACAAAGAGATCTGAGACATAGATATAAGATGTTGAATAAGTTTTCTTTTAAAAGTGGAAAAACAATGGACATTCTTAATATCATTGGGTAAAATATTCCATTCTTTAATACTGCCAGTAAGAAATGTTTAGAATAAAACAAAGTTCTATGTTTTGGCACTTGGAAATTGTTTTTAGAAGCATATCTAGTATTCCTTCTGTGACCATTCCGCACTAGTGATACATTGTTTGACAAATATTCTAGAACAGTCTGGTGATAACATTTAAATAACATACACAGCATTCTAAATTTGTAATACATATTAATTGGCATCCATCTAAGTTGCTGAAACATTACTCTGGAGGGTGTGTCAAAAGGTACATTAAAAATAATACGGGCTGCCTGCTTCTGAGCTTTGAGAAGTTTCCCCATTAATTTTTTGTTGCAACCTGACCACACAGTACTACAATATAAAAAGTGTGGAAAAACACAAGAATTTAAAAAACATAAGTTTACTTTCAGTAGGTAGATGTGGACTAATAATGCTTCGTAATAAACCAAGTTTCTATCTAATCCTAGATACAACAGATGTGATATGACTTGACCACGTTAGTCCATCATCAACGTTTACACTAAGTAGTTTATCATTACAAACCTGTTCTGAAGGTTCATCACACATATGTATCTCCATGGAAATTTTCGCACGAAGATAATATTTTTACGCGCGTCATCAGGCACAATTCAGGATAACGTTAACGTCAAGTACACAAACATTGAATAGATTTAACAAACTGTTGGTATGTTGATGGTTTGAATATTCAATAAGTGTTGCCGGATAAATTAAATACATGGTTACTGTCTTAAATTATAAGCTACATTTCGGCTTGGGACAAAATCATAAGGGGCTTGCAAAAGGCTCGCCACTGTTGTCGTCAGTCATCCTCGCCAAAATACAGCTTACATTTATTCAATGTTTTCTCAATGTATAAGCTGTATTTTGTGTAAGGAAAGAAATGAGCCGAGAGTTGCGTTGAATTATGACTGGCGACTTTCAACAAAATATGGTTCCAAATTTCAATGAATATAATAGCAGTTTTGTAAAAAAAAAATCTAGTGTATTACAACAATCAAAATTGCTTAATCAAACATACACACGCGCGCGCGCACAAATACACGCACACAGCATATTTCACCTGACGAAACTATAAGAAAATCTGAGTAGTTTGTATATTTGGGTATGTTACTCCGAAATACCTGTCAATAAATGAACATATGGTATAAATACATCAGCTATCACAAAAACGCGACAATGCTCTTATTACATGTTGTGTTAAACCTACTTGCCAGGAAAGAAAAAGAAATTATTATAGAAACACCTTTTGTTTCGGCTGCATCTTGTACAAGTCAGTTATAATGGACACTACTTGCATGATTTGTGATTTTCTTTACCTCTTGTTCGACACGAAAGCATCTAGATAAAACCTCCAATGTACTCCTACTGTTATATTCTTCTTTTTTCTTCGTTTTAACTTTTACACTAAAGAACTTGTTTACAAAATGCATAATTTCAGGTACAGAAACGGTTGTGTGAAATAACCCCAGGCAGTACCCAGTTACGAAACCTTGACTCCGCTGTTTGTCCTTACTGTTTATAACGTGGCTTTTGTTCTACCTGATACATGAGATCAGGACCTAGCCAATCGGACGTCAAAGTCGTCATCAAAATAGTGTATCAGTAATATATATCATTAGGAAATAAACAGACCCGTCTAGCTATGAAAAAAATATCATTTATTAACATCATTGACGCATCGGCTACATTGTTAGATATTTTTTATCATAACCCTGTTTGACACAATTTTATCATTTCTCGGGTGTGGTCGACGAAGCAAAAGACGCAGACTCTTCAGAGACATCTTTTGTTGAAAACAATTTTCTTCTATGTTCATAATTGACCAAGTTATGTCGATGGTAATTTGAGAATGCAATTCTATTACCTGGTGGATGTTTTTTTCTGTTTTTAAAATGGTGCAAAATAATCATAAATGCGTTTTTATGATGACTATTTCTTGTATTTTAGCTAAAAGTTCTAAAAGACTCCACTGTTGTCGGAGAAGAAGCGAGTAACGGCAAGGACACCGATGACCGTCGATCGTCAGGACGCCATTCTACAGCTAGTGACCACTCGACAGAACAGTCGGACGAACCCTCTAGGTCTCACGAGTCCGGAGATGTATTTGTTCCTAGTAGTTGGACGTCTTTTGCCCAGAGTCTTTTTACAGTGAAGGGGTCAAGCAGTTACTGTTGTGCAGCCCTTCCCCAGCCTCTTCTTCCCAAGTACGAGAAAGCAGATCACTTGGTAAGTATCAAAATCAAAGTTAAAAATGATATAAAATATTCATTTGAATAATTATCCGATCGAATGAGATTATTGTAAGTTGTGTATTTTTATTTTGACGAAAAGTCGGAATTCGAAGTCAGCACTGACGAGTGATACTATTTTCAGTTTCTGAATATGAACTCAATTTGATAGCTGAATGTGATAATACATGCTGTATGATGCAGTGTTATTTTTTGGCTATGCTGTAGCTAACTATTAGTAAAAGGTGTTTATTACGTTTGTGTTCTTTGTGTAATCTTTGGGCAAGGTCGTAGACACTGTTGGTGGACTTTAAATCCCCGAGGTTTGCCGTAACCTGCATGCCACGTTTTAATTCATTAAAATAGAGGCACGGTTAAGAATGTATACATATACTTGATATTGTTCTAAAATTTCAAATCTATGAAAATTACAAAGTTTATCTAATTATGAGCCTGCTCGCACCTCCCCGTCTAAATTTTTACTTTTCTTTCGATCACTTAAAATTTTCCTCAGTCATCTCATAGACTTCAAAATTTTTTGCACACCATTACTGACGAGTCCCAGAAGGTTGAAACAGTTGGCTGTATGTTGCCATTTAATTTATTATTTGGCTCTAATGTATCTAACTTCAAATTATCAAATGTGCTATTCACGTGCCTGTTATTTGTACAATCTGATAGTTGAAGTACAATAAAAAGAAATTGTAAAGTGAGACCTGGACTATAATCGGCCAATCTTTAGAACGAATTAAATCACAAATCATACCATGATGGGGAAGCTATTTTAAAAGTTCATTTTGACGAATAAATAACAAATAACAGACAATCCACAAGAAAACATATACTCTTGTAAAGCACGTGTTCAGAGATGCCCTCTTATTAATGAAAAGAGGATCAACCATCTGTTTCATGGGATAGACAGCTGGAGTGAAATGGCTAATTTCCGAAAAGAAAAAACTTCCAAAATTTGTTCGGTTTTCTTTGTCACTCTGCTTATTTCAATGGAAGAAAATAAACATTGATAATGAATGAAAAATGAATGAATGTAATTGAATTGAAATAAAAATTCAGGAGAATAATGTTTGTATTGTGTTAGTGTGAATTTAGAGGAAACAACATCACTCTGAAACAGAAGTATACGTTTTCAAAACTTGTTCACACTCAAATTGATGGTTTGGCTGTCAGCCTAAATTTAACTGGGCATGTCTAGAATCATGCGTTAGATAAATCGCTGAGATACCTTCATGGTGGCTTCGTTGATGCTGATCTGACACCAAACTAGTCACCTATCTTAATGTCACCTACCTTTTAAGATAAGCAGGTGTGATTGACATATTTTTCAGGTGAGAAAAGCTTTTGATTTGTTTATTCTCTGTTAAGGCCTCACTAGCTTCCTGGGTGACGATCCTGAGAATCATGGGAGATTTACCAGACTTAGACATCATAGACAAGATAGATGTCGCTGGGGTAAGTCATGTGACCTTTGGAATCTGTCGCTGTAGCTTTTACTTGGATTGAAAAAGTTTAGATATCAAACTCCCGGTTGCGTATTAAACAGGAACAAATGTAACTGCATTGTCATAAATATGTACATCCACCTGATAGAATACAGTAATAGTGATATACATTGTTCATCTGTCCCCACTTGTATAAAACATCTCAACTTGAGATTTCCTCAAGTCGAGATTTTCCTCTGCTGATATCTCCTCAAAAACGGCTTGTATAAAATTTTCTCAAGGAACAAGAGGAAGTCCTCGGCTAGGATGTCCTGAAATTCCTTGAGGAATTTTCATACAAAATATTTTCAAGGAGATATTAGCTGAGGAAAATCTGGGCTTGAGGAAATCTGAAATTGAGATATTTTATACAAGTGGGGCCTGAGCTACAAAGAGAAAGTATGCAAATGAAATAAGATGTAATATAAGAAAGTAAGTTCGAAAATAGATTGTAACGCGAGTCACGACATTTCAGTATCTATTTGGAAAATACGTATATAGTTATTTTTTTCCAACATATAAAATCAAAGCATGGTTATAAATTCTGCTTTGAAATCACGACAACTTTTCTATAAACTGGAGATTTAAAACCATGAATTAATGAGAAAAGGTCATTTTTCTCTTCAGCAATCAACACAACCTAGTGTCCAAGTTCGACAATTCTATCATAGGAAATACACAAAGAAAGATGTTGAGGATGCCCACAGGAAATATACAGAACTGGTATGGAATTTCAATCAAGCATATCACAACATGCCAGGCAGTTGAAGTAAAACAAAACAAATCGAGATAAATTTTGTCTATGTGTATGATGTCGGTCGGTATCTTTCTTAATGCCTGTAAATCAACACATTCAAGATTAGGTTTAATATTCTGAAATAGAACTAAGAAAGGAGAACGTTGGATTAAGTTTAGGTGAAGTGTATTACGAAGGCATTGAGGAACGTCTATCAAATCTATGTTGCTTTCCTCCCGTAAGAACATGTTAGATGCTTCTCTTTTGATAGTTAGATATCCTGATCCTGTCAGCACGTAGTGCTGTTTAGCGCAATACCAAATACAGATATCCAATACACGGTAAATTTACATCATCTTTGCTGATCAACTTCTCTGTTACAGTTTAAGAATCCTGGGTTTACAGAAGCCAAAGGCCTGCCCTTTCTTAGCGACAAATCAGTTTCAATGCTTGAGAAAGTCCAATTCATTTGTGCACTGGGCATTTACCAGCCCGACCTCAGGTAGGGCACATAGTTGATAGCAACATTGGATTTTGTTTTCACTGTCACAGAAACACTTTGTCATCTGTAACATTTATTGTCATGTTCGGAAAAAAGGGTTTTATAACAACAAGTGCTTATATAATACATTACATATCCTATATTTTTTTTATCTTTGCTCGGTAATTCCATTGACCAGAGAAAGTGACCAAAACCCGAACAATTTCCTAACAGGTTTTTAATGTAACTGACCATTGCGGTTTATGACTAAGGTATAATGATAGTTTTTTTTGTTGTTGTAGAGATGAGTTGTACTGCCAAGTTTGTAAGCAGCTTACGAACAACCCGTCCCGCAACAGCACAGTAAGGGGTTGGGTTCTTCTGTATCTCATGGCAGGAAGCTTCTCCCCAACAGAAAGGGTATGTTTTCTCCTTTCCTACCAACCATTTTGTAACATCGATACAACCGATACTGTTAGTTTGAATATAGAATCGGATGACTTCTTTGACTTTGAAAATTTGACTTTGAAAATGTTACTTTTTAAGATTTCACACAATGTACATAAACCTACACAAAGATGAGTGGAAAATATGCACAACGGTTGCAACTGAGAACAACTTCGGACAATTCATTTACGGATTGATTGTTTTGCAGTTTTCACCATGCTTCCTCCAGTTCCTTCAAGAAAGCATGCCGGAGTATGCAAATCGTGTCGAGAGGATACTGCGCCGGACATTCATCACAGGGACCAGGGCCTTCCCTCCTAGCTGGCTCGAGTTTCAGGTGAGGTTTGTCGAGCGCCAGTGAGGTCACTGTTTGTAATCACAAATCCTATTCATATCAAGTACTTTGCGTAGATTTTGATTTTTTTGTAAATTTATGTCGCTGGGGGTCGGAAGGCCGTTGGGTAATAAAGATTAAGTCATTTAGAAAAAAAAATCGTATGTAACTGATGAAAGCACTTATTATACTGTAGGCCGCGAAGAATGGCAAACCAATTCTACTGCCTGTAGCACTGATGAATGGAAACAGAATGCTAGTGGAGGCGGATTCGGTGACAACAGTTCAGGAATTGAGTCGACAAATCGGAAACAGAATCAGTCTTCAGCATCTAGAGGGATTTTCTCTCTACATAACACTTATGCAGAGGGTAAGAGATTCTTCTGATATGCCATCTTACATTTGGCTTTATAATATAGTCATAGATATTTTCAGACTAGCCAAACAATTATCAATACTTTGTTTTTCAAAGGGCAGTAACTTCCGTATCATCACGATGACACATGGATTCAGAATCTTCTGCGGTGAAGCTAAATGATAACGATATCATAGTCATGGAAGAAATGTAAAAGTGAATATCGTTGGTGTCTAGGTACATTGTATGACAATAATAACACGTGATTGTGTTGTTATTCTTCTTTACAGATCTCCAGTTTGGGTCACGTTTGTTATTCTTCTTTACAGATCTCCTGTTTGGGTCACGTTTGTTATTCTTCTTTACAGATCTCCTGTTTGGGTCACGGTTTGTTATTCTTCTTTACAGATCTCCTGTTTGGGTCACGTTTGTTATTCTTCTTTACAGATCTCCTGTTTGGGTCACGGTTTGTTATTCTTCTTTACAGATCTCCTGTTTGGGTCACGTTTGTTATTCTTCTTTACAGATCTCCTGTTTGGGTCACGTTTGTTATTCTTCTTTACAGATCTCCTGTTTGGGTCACGGTTTGTTATTCTTCTTTACAGATCTCCTGTTTGGGTCACGTTTGTTATTCTTCTTTACAGATCTCCTGTTTGGGTCACGTTTGTTATTCTTCTTTACAGATCTCCTGTTTGGGTCACGTTTGTTATTCTTCTTTACAGATCTCCTGTTTGGGTCACGTTTGTTATTCTTCTTTACAGATCTCCTGTTTGGGTCACGTTTGTTATTCTTCTTTACAGATCTCCTGTTTGGGTCACGTTTGTTATTCTTCTTTACAGATCTCCTGTTTGGGTCACGTTTGTTATTCTTCTTTACAGATCTCCTGTTTGGGTCACGGTTTGTTATTCTTCTTTACAGATCTCCTGTTTGGGTCACGGTTTGCATCGCGTTATGGACGCGGTGTCTGAGTGTGAACAACATACTCGTCAGATGGGGATGAAGGAAAGTACATCCACATGGAGACTTTATTTCCGGAAAGAATACTTCACCCCGTGGCACGAGCATATTGATGACCCTATTGGTATTGACCTCGTCTATCAACAAGTGATGAGGGGTGTGTCTGTTGGCGAATATAACTGTGACAAGGTATGCTAGCGTGTACAACTACTGTTGTGAAATTGTTATTTAATTTAGTTTAAAATAATTCAGAAATGAATTAGCGCTCTAACTGGAGTTTGTTTTCCCTCGTGTTTCAATAGTTTCTACATGATTTCAATAGGATATTCATTTGTATATGGAATATACTTATTACTAATTAAAGAATTATTCAAAGTCGCCTAGCGCGCTTTATGAGTTTGAACTTGTATTTTTTCTGTTTTTTTTTTTTTTTTTTTTAAGTTAATCTCTCCTGATCACTTAATGGTACTGCCAGAGAAAATTAACCATTAGCTACAAATGACATTTTGGGAAAAAAAATCTTTAAAAATATATATGCTGACTTATGCGAAATTCAAAGCACTTACAATTGTATTCCGATATCACAGAAATGTTACATTTGATATGGAAAATCTGTTATTTATCCATGTAGAATTTCTAGCTTACGATTTCGGATACTAGTCTTATTTCATGATTGCAATTAAGTTATGAAAGGACATTAGAGAAGCTAAGCATTTAAAATCTTTCTCTGTTGCTGTAATGGTATCCCCGAAGCAAAGTAGTATTTATACATGTTGTTCTGTAATATACATGTAATAAAAGTATTAGTCGATTTCCTTGAATCTATAGATTAGTTTTTTAAAAGCAAGTAAATGTGAATGAAAAGGTAATGCGTAAAATTAGTTCACGATTAACACAGATTTAAGTAATATTACACACCTGTTCAATATTGCAGGAAGAAGTTTTGGTCATGATGGCAGCTCAACGATATTTTGTAGAGCATGGAAGTGACTTGAATCCGGAGAAAATTGAGACTTTTCTCGCGAGTTGGCTTCCAGAAGAACACAAACGCGAAAAAGACCATGATTCTTGGGTTGTGAAAGTGACAAAAGTGCTTGAAACAGACATTTTGAAAAGCAAAATAAATGCCGACACCTTAAAGGCAGATGTTGTGACATTCGCCAAAAATAAATGGTTTTCCATGTTTTCCCGCTTCTATGATGCCAGTAAAATTCAAGGCCCTGATACGTCGTGGTCACAAGTGATTCTTGGCCTAAATTTCAAAGGCGTTCAGGTGATGGATGAGAAAGAGAATATCAAAATGCAGATTCCATTCATGGAGGTTGCAGCAGTATCTCGTAGCAGGTAAATCGAGCATGGATATTATTTGACCGCCTTAACTATAAAAAGCCGTTACCGTAATTGATCTGTGACATATTACATAGTCCTGAATATTTAAACACTCGCCTAGTATTGTCCTCTGCGTTTCCGGTGTTTGAAAAGGTGAGCGCTTTTAACAATTATACAACAAATACGATATATATATAAGTTGCCTTAGTTTACATCGTACAAAGTTTACATGGATTTTTTTTGTATAATGTGAAATGTTAAGGTGTCCTGATGGGGGCCTTATATTTCAGAACGGTAAACTAGGAAGTCGGATTTAGTTTCGCACAGAGGCTTACAAGAACACATCAAAAGCTCGCAAAAACACCCGCAATTAACATATACACTCACTTTGCATACGACATGAAGCAGGTTTGTTGCTGTTGATAAAACGTTATATCAAATTAAACCATCGCCGTATTATAACTATAACGTCGGCATTGATTTTCAGGCATACTGCAACGATTTCTACAGTAAAATCCGAGGAATATGTTATATTTTCACTTCATTCTGAGGATCTCTATCGTATGTTGTCTGTGTTCCTTGATGGGTTGAAGCGTAAATCAAAATACGGACTTGTGGTCCAGGACTGTTCACAATACGGTAAGTTGACCAGTCATGACCGCTGACCAAGACAACTATCTAATTAACTGCATAATAAACTCATAAACACGTAGCACGAGTATGCCAGCTATTTTTGGTTGTGTTTCAGGTACATTTTTTATCCTAACAAGTTGTTATGTTTGTATGGAGTCTACAGTGACTCGTTTTTAGGTAATTTGAATAACAGCACAGTTTTGAATCTTCGATTATGTCATTGCTTAGGATAGTACAAGTGTATGGCAGGGAACATGTCATCTTCGATACTCCAGGTGTTACAATCACTTTCGCTCTCTGAACCCCTGGAACCATCCTCGATACTCCAGGGGTTACAATCACTTTCGCTCTCTGAACCCCTTGGACAAGCCATGGCTAAATTGAAGTAATTTGATTGGATTCAGGAGAGGAAAAACCAATAAATAAGAGGCTGATAAGCTCCTTTTAAAGATTGTAAAGGAAAAACACCTTTAAAGCCATTACAATATATCGATATGCAACCTCGAGATTCGTTTGATGTACAGCAAAGGATCGTTTTAGTCTTCTCGTCTTGTCCATATTGTGTCGCACATGGAATCTTGGCGAGACATTTTTCTATGATGCACTGGAATATCGGGAATGGGAACATGTTAGATATATGATATTTGTGATGTTTATATCTAGATTCAATGTTAGGTATGTGTCTCCTGATTCCTGAAAACATAAAATAATTCACCTATGTCAAAGATGAAATAATCCTTGAAGCTTTAAACTCTAAATTTGAATGCGTGATATAAAGATTATCTTACATATAATATCGATATATGTCAGGTAATTGCTAAACACAATATTTTGTTTATAAACTTCCGAGTCAAAATTATCAACTTTTGATTAAAGATGGTGCAATAGGGCTCGGTGTACAAAAAGGTGACCTCATCAAACTCGATCATCAGTACGATCGCTTAAGAAATGCAGATGTTTTCAAGGGAACTTGTCAACGCACGGGAAAAGCCGAAACGATGCCTCGGGACCTTCTATACATACTTCCTGTCATTGATCAACCTACAAAAGACATGATGGTATGATGATCAGGTTTCATTTTCCTTTTTTTTGTTCAAAAGCTTTTTACAAGTAACCAGTGGTTAGTGAAATGTTAAAACACGATTCAAATAAAATTGGAAACATTTTTTATCATTTCATGGCTGTAGTTTTTAGAGACAGGAAGCACCAATATATATTTTTAATTGTTAATTTTGGCTTTAACCCTCTTGTTTTTTCAATAGAAACAATTTGAATGTTTCACGAACCATTGATAAACTCTTACTAATATAACAGATGCCAATTATAAGCAATATGAATTCAAAACAAATTACAGCAGAGTTTCGGTAGCAGTTGTCGATGAAGCAGAAGACGCTTAATCTTCCGGAAAACTTGGTCTTATTTAAAAAAAAAAAGTTTTTATAACGTTTGACTATCAGCAAACTCTACTACAACCTCGTGTTTTTCTTTTGCCTTTCGTAAGATCGAATGGATGTCAGACAGCTGTGCATAAAAATGGGCCAGTTTTCTAAACTATTATTTCTCAACAAATTTGTGTTTTAAAGATTCATTATGAGGAATGAAGCCTCATCTCATTCAGATGCAACTGCATGGATATAGAATTTTTACTTTTGGACCTTTTAGTTCTTGAGACAGACTTCTGTGTAAGGATATTGTGAATAATCATTGTAATTTGACGGATAAAATTAATGTTCCTACATGAATTTCGAATTTATGAAATTTTTATAATGAAACGCATCTTAAACTTTTACAGACCATGTGGTGAGGTTAAATTTAACGTGTTTCATAAATCACATACGAAATGGAACGAATACTAGATATTTCTATCTTTTGAATAATGTCAAGTACCATTGCAAATATCCGTGAAAAGAGCATTTGATAAGACTGATATTAGATTTAGATATTTGTAATGATATTACTTCATGTTTCTGTGGTGACGTCACAATGTATTTATCATCATAAACATACGTAGCGACGTCGCAATTTAAACAATGTGAACATGTCAGCCATTCACGGTTGTACTTGGTGGTAACATACGTATTTGCATAACACAGTGTATATTATTCGTTTTAATAAACTGATTAGATGTCCTTAGGTGATAAACCTCATAACTGATAACGTCATGTTCTGTAGGGAATGGTGACTGTACAACTGAGAAAGGAATTTAATCCATTTATTACGCTGGTGAACACTGAAAACAGGAAGGAGGAGCACAACTTACTCAATTTTTCAAAACACCACTTCCGGTAAGGCAGGAGCATTCAGGTATCAAATGTACCATTGCTTCCTTTGAATAAAAAACAAACTTCATCATACTTATCTGAATTGAAGTTTCAAAATTCCTTAATCAATTGTTCTCGGAATTCTAAGAGAAATGATTATCAAAGCAATATTTGAAGTGATGACTGAATCTGTTGCAATACTTAAGCGAAAATGTGGCAGTAGATCAGTGATGACTATAGGTAGTTACGCTGTCTGAAGTAAGTCGAACGTAAAAAAATGAACTAAATTGAATTACTATATTTCAATGGTTATAATCATTCTTTACCATGTTTGTTACACACACTACAAGTTGCATATTGAATTACAAGAAGATACATATACAAATAAGTATATTGTAAATGCTTTAATCTGTTTTATTTCACGAATTCGCAATTTCAGACGGTGAAAAAATACATTGAAATACTTTAATTTTATATTGGAGCCATGCTTCCATTAAAAAGTGAAACCAGTAGCAAGTATACAATAAAAAAACGCAAAGAATGAAAAAGATATTCACCGTTATCGTCAGACACGTGATCAATGTTATGATTTTCAGCAGTGTTTATTTCTTACTTTGCACAGATCATCAAACGAAAACAGGATGTCAAAAATTTTATCTAAAGCGTCGTTCAAAAAAGACAAATCCCCTCAACTGTGGCAATTCAGCAAGGAACCGCTGAAGAAACCTCTGCTCAAGAAGACGTGTTACAGGGAGGAACTGAGACAGACAAGCTGCAAATGCTTTCTGGATATCCTTTTATATAGTAAAACATAGCACGGATAATACCATTATCTGTCTCTTAGATCGAAATAGACATTGAACATTCAACTGAAGGAATTTACATGATATATAGCTTAGCTATCAATTTCATCAAAGCATTAGTACCTTCTAAGAACATCTACGTAGAATCAATCTGTGTTAGTGAACAACACTCCATTGAAGACCTGTACGATACATTATACTTACTTTGCGGAGGAACGGTGTGTCCGGTACAAAGACTCCTAACGGCCAGACATTATCGAACATTTTTATACTTAAAAATTGCTAAATTACTAACTGTCATAGGTACCGCGTTACAGTTTTAACAACTTCTGTTATGGACAAGAGCGTTTTGGGCTTTTGTACAGAATTAAACACTTGTCAAAAGACATATAATGAGCATTACATTTGAACAAAATTTAGAATGAAATGACGTTATATAATAAACCAATCTGTACCATTCTGCTGTCTCGTCCTTTTTGGACTCGTTAGTGATGCTAAGGGCCAAAGTGTTTGGAAGGTAGGACACGACAGAGTAAAAAAATAGGTGATCCAAAGAGATTTTACTATTTAGATGGACAGGTGAACTAACCCCATTATCACATTTTGTAATATATATCTGTAAGTATCTGATGATAGGAGTAGGACAGGTGTACATTCCGTACCTCTATTCAATTGAATTTAAAAAAATGTGGCATGGATTTTACGGCAATCGTCGGTGAATAAAGTCCACCAGCTGTGTCTACCATCTGCCATATCATGATTGTACACAAGACACACCAATACGTGTCTTAAACAAAAGTTTAATGCGGTACACTTTTATAACAAAAGTAGAAAAAGATGTACCAGACATTTTGGACTGTGCTATAGATTTAAACACTGCGAATTAAAAAGGTGTTGTGATTTGTTGTAAATTTTTTACTACAATGGCAGTCAAATGTGTGCAGTGTATAAATGTCAAACTATAAAATCACAGGGATAGATATACAGTGAATCCTCGCCTAACGACCACCTCAAAATTACCACCACACCGCTATTACGGGCACTTTTTTCAGTCCCGTTTTTTTCCACTATATATCTTTGTATTGGTCGCTTCAGTATTACGACCACTTCTTACAGTCCCAACGATCACTAATTAACAATAAGTGACCTCACAATTACGACCAAGTTCTGACCAGTGATTACCTGGTGGGCAGTGTACCACGAGCATGTGTGTCGTTCTCGAACATTGCTGTATGTACCAATAGATATGTACTTAATTATGCTTAACATACGGCATATTTTACTAAAATTCTGCAGATTCCTTAATTCTGTATACCGATCCAGCAGTTCATGGGAGATGCACCTAACAAGGACCACATATCGGACTTTGAGCTCGCAAATGACTGCATTCTCGAACCTTCTATGAGAAGTGTAAGTGTTACAGATAAACAATACAACACAGATGTTATTGACGATGAGCACAATTTTTTGTCTGTGTTGTTTTCAAGTTTGAAGTTTCGGATGACATTTGTATGTATCGTGTCTTGATTTCTCTATAGAATATAACTACAATTACACGTTCTGGCATCATTTTGCAAATATTTTGGTTTGATTTCAGAGGCACATGAGGGAAGAGGCGTACTGCCAACTTATAAAACAACTCACACATAATCCCGATAAGTATGTATAAACTGTAAATGTACTAATGTCTAATTGTTGCCTTCCAACATACATGATGAGTCTTTTGATCAACTTGATCGCCTATTCTTCTGAAATTAGTAAATACAAAATGTTTAATTGCAAAGCATTTGTCTTATTTCCTCTCTCTCTCCCCCTCTCTCTCTCTCTCTCTCTCTCTCTCTCTCTCTCTCTCTCTCTCTCTCTCTCTACGACGAACAAAAGTTCTACTTGTATGACACATATGTTATATTTAGACTTAAGAGTGGAAATATGTACCAACTGTTTTGAATGCAGGTCTAGTGAAGAAAGAGGATGGCAGTTGCTCGTTCAAATGTCTTCCACCGTGATCCCTGGGAGTGATCTGGTTGAGGAATGTGAGCTCTTCATGAAAGGAAGTTCTCATAGAATGGCCGCACCATGCCTTGATCGGTTTCAGACAACGAAACGGTAAAAACCTATAGATATTGTCAAACTTTGAAGATATTACGTATTTCTTAAGTAAACGTGAAAATCTCTTTAAAAGTATCCATAGTGAGAATTGATATCTTTGTAGTGAAGAGCACAGACGTAATACCTAATCAAACAGTATTTGTCATTATGGAATCTTCTAAATTAGTCAATATTTCTGTTTCAGTGACGGATTTAGACAATACCCACCTCACCAAAAAGAGTATGAACTACTCAGGTCACAAGAGAGAACAATCAAATTTGATGTCGTCTTGCCGTTTAATGAACGACAGGTTTGTAACAAATATGATGTACTACCGACTAATATTGAATTTTCAAGGGGCCGAGGTAACCCAGTCGGCAGAATATTGACCCGTGTAAGATTCGGGGTGTATGGTGCAATGCTACATACATTTTTAGGAGCATAGGGACGTGTTGACGTGGTCGTTACTTTACGCAAGGAACTTTACCCCAAGTAATCTCGATAGCATGCAAATGGCTTCCCGTATGGCGTTCAATGAGATAACAGCCAGCTACTACAAGTGGATCCCGCCTCAAAATTATACTAGCTGTTTACAGGGCGATAACAGGGCGGTAACTCAGGAAAATCATTATTGAATTTCTGTTTTGTGAACAATGAATCGTTTGTTCCCGACTAAATCGGCAACATTTTATCGTGATTATTTCGTTTTGTTTAGAACTAAAGCACGAATCATTGAAGACATTTTAAAAAAGTGGAACCTTATTAAATAAAGACGCCTATTTTCTTTTTCTATTCTCAGACAGTAGAAGTGGAGAACACCAGTCGAGTATTTAACATCAAACAACAGCTCCTGACGAAGTTCGACCTACTCGACTCGGCGATGGAATACGGCTTATTCTTCGCTCTTCGAGATAGAGGTCCACAATATTCATCTACCAATTCCAAAACGAGTGTGTGTCCTTTCACTTGCCATATCGCTAAGATTAGTGGATTTCCTTATTGTTCGGAATAAGTGGGATGGGAAATCCTGGGTTACAAAACCCTGGGTTAGATATCAGCTGGCGATGATGCTAGAGATCGGTGCATGTATTGTAGATGTTCATTTAGTAGATGCTATTTAATGATTTTTTTATCTAAACATATTTAATGTGAATGATTAATGTAAAGGCAGTGTTCTATATATATTATCTGGACGAAATTTACAAGTTATATCAGAAGACTTTTAGTGCAACCTTAGAATATTGAACCAGGAAATAGTAAATGTTTACTAGATGCTCTAATTATGTGCTCACCTGTTATAAGTTCAGATCTATTTTCAGCCTCGGATCCCAAACATGGGTCGGAATTCAAAATAACAGGCAGGTCTTTAGAACGCCTGTAGTTGCAAACAATGCATTCATTCCTTTCTCTTTCATGGAATCCACTGATCATAGTTGATGCTATATGTTCAATATATATTCACTGAAATCAAGGTGTTCCAAGTGGCGTCGAATAAGGTCATAATAATTCAAAAATGTAATTTACTTAAAATGCGACGAAAAGAAAAACAAAAATTAATAGTTACAAGCTTATTGTATGGCGTAACATGGAATATCTTGGTTGTTGCCAGTTTCATCCATGCCTTATGAAACTTAAGATAATTCAGACGAACGAGAAATTGTGTATAGGTAAATGATTAATTTCTAGGTGAATGTTTACTGGTGGTGCTGTAGATGATTGATTTGTCCGCTCTTACGAGTACATTGTGATATTCGACACGTCATCCAGCTATTATTAAACATGTTTTACAAAAGAGTTTAAGAAAGCGAAGTACTGGAAACGTACAATTGTTTTTGTTTAAAGAAAATAAAAATTTCCTTACTGTCATGAATAAATATCTGAAGTAGTATATCACTCGGTTTGTCAATTTAATGCATAATATTTTATGTAAGTAGGCAGGGTTGAAACTGGTTAACTTGGCAAAGTGTGGTATCATGGTTAATCTGTTATAAGGATACGTCGTTGATCACATAAACGTCAACTGTAAAATAGTGTAGCTGATTGTTTCATATATACTCGCACTTTTCAGCTTTAGTTAATATCTATTAACATGTCTCTCTGATAACCTTCCTCTACATCACTGACTGAAGAAGAAGTACCTTTCACTCTGATGTATTCTGCTCAGCTGTATAAATGGTATACTCTCATTATGTGACATTGTCATACTTGTTCAACAAAGTGCATAGCGGTGCACCAGCGTTTTATTGAAAGCCAGCATTTTGAGAGCGATGCTTCTCCATTATAATATACTCTTCTTGGAACCATAGTATATAATGTTATTGTTATGTTATATTAATTTGCATAAAGTACATTTTAAAGGCGATTTATGGAATACATTAACTTAGCTAATCTTTATCATATAGTGGGAAATGGGTACTAATGATAGAGTTAAAGTGTTGCTCACTCTATGGATTTATACATATATACTTTTATATTTTTACTAACATATAATTGTGAGGTTAAAATATTCAGAAAAAATCCAGGTGAAAGAAACATTAATCCTATAAATAGGAAATATGATGTCAGGAAAATAGGAAGAACGCTTAAATATTCATATTCAAAATATTTAAAACACTACTTTTTATTCCATGCCTTGATTTTATCATTTCCTACCAGGCAAAGGTCTCATTTACTCATATATTGTTGGTATGTATCGTCCTTGATATCATATTTGCGTTTTGGGTTCATATGCACTTTGGGTGATGTCACGTGACAGGATATGGAGCAACATTGATAGCAGTATCGAATTATGTATTGTGCAACCTCTAAACAACATTAATTTGATACCAAAATTATATTATCAGAAAGAGCATTGTCTAAATCATACTGTTTTAATGTATAAGAACGATAAATCGCGAGATGTGTCAAAGCTAGAGCATTATTTTTTCATGCAAAAATGAGGAGTTATGTTAATTAATCTTTTAAGTTACAATAAGATTCAGATTAGATTTATTTGTTATATTTATTCTATGGCACATTTACTTCCATTTTCATGTAGGCTAAAAGGTTGCAGCACTCTTCAATAATGAACATCGATGTTGATGCTATTCGAAATGAATTAAAACCCTTTTGTGGTACTTGATCACGCCTCTATAATAACAAAGTTGGTTTCAGTTCAGAAATGGTTTTAAAAAAACATTCAAATACTGTAAGAGTCATAAACCTTAAGTTCATAATGTTACTTTGGCGATATCGCGTATTAGCGTTCAAGCATTTATTATCGTGTTGATTGTTAAAAATACATTATGAATTAATGTTTGATCCAAAACCAAACTCTGGGGCCAAGGAACCACTAGATGCAGATAAGGAATGTGTGTCACTTCAATCAGTTAAAATGAAGTTACTTTTAACTAACATACATAATATACATTTGTTATTTTAACAAATACACTATACATATTTCATTCATTCATGTCAGAATTTCCATCGATCAAATATTGACATAAGGTGTGCAGATGCACTTATACTTGAAAATACAGCAAGGTGTTCTGCGAACATTTATAATACAGGTTAAAAATATTTTACAGGTTTTGGCTTTCTTTGAAAGTATGCTTCCTATTCTTTAGCCGTTGAACAGAACCTTTTTATGTAGTAGTACTAATAGTTTGGGCCATACGCTGCCTTTTTCTATAACTGCACTCATTGCATAGTTCTGAACAAATCTGTTGCTCCTTCACAGGAATTTGCTGATTATGCTGAGAGAAGTAAAACAAAAGAAAATCTCCCTTCGCAATGTTTTTATAATTGTACTTTCTCCTCTCTGTGTTTTTTCCTGTATAATAATCTTCACGTGCACAACACACAAGGTATAACTTTCGTTTTGTTTATAAGTTATTATGTTCCACCTCTATAGGTTTTTTCCGAATATTTTTAATATCTTTATAAATGATAATAAATGACAGATGTCTCCAGAGCTATAATGTTTATTGAAATCTTGATAATACTGCTGAAATATTTCTGTCTATATAGAATGAACATACCAATAAACATCTAAGGATGCAAGGATGCATGAACATACTTATAAAAAGACATTTATTCGAAATATGCATGTACATATAAGTTTACTTTTGTATTGAGCTTAACCATATTTTTAACATTATACAATTCATTTTTGAGAACAATTCTTTAACTCCCATTATCTGATATTTTGAATTAATCTGAATTATCATTCGAACTTTATATACTTTTAGTGTTAAGTGCCAATGATGGCGACTATTTTATGGATGCTCTGTGCCACGTGGAACGATTCTGGACAAAGCTTTCACACTCGGGGAGAGCTAGTCGTAAGTTGAAATAAAATAAGTTACTGTAAACTCTACAAGATGCTTTAGCGATAACCTCATGAATTGCGCTAATTTTCGATAATGCACTAGAATTATTCGTGCTAAATTAAGCACATTTAACGTATTAAAGATTGTAAAATAAACACCTTACATTAATATTCTATTAGATACAGTTAAGTATAATAATGAATTGAAGTGCATCGCTCTTGCGTCCTTCTTGGACTCGTACTTGATGTGAGTGCCTAAGTAGTTGATGTTTAATACATCTGATACTTCAGCATTTGTAAGATTGCGATTAATTTCAGACACATTGCCTGAAAATTGATTTGTGTAATATATCGATGCCACTGATAATCATACCAGTCATATCATGCACTTGTCTCTTGATTTATATCTACAGAATCAGAAGCGGGACCTCCACCAGCGCCACATGTGTTTTTTATGAAGAAAATATGGGTAAATGCCGAACCTGGTCAAAACAGACATGCAGACTCAATATTCCATTTTCCGCAGGTAGATACATTTGATATGTTGCACTTCCTAATGATTGGTCCAACAAGAGTTGAGAGTTGTTCATTGTTGATCAGTTCTCAGTCGTCCAAGCATATTCCAATACCAACGTGATCAATTTCGTTCATTTTTCGAAACTTATATTTAATACAAACAAGTTTGCTTGAGTCGACATATTTTTCAAAACTTTCTTGAGAACGTGACATTAATTACTTGGATTTTGTTTTTATTGAATTTGAGTCTTGATTATGATTATGTCGACATGTAGGTATATTCCTGTGTTTGTTTCTGACAGGAATTGCCAAATTACCTTCGCGGTTTCCACAAATTCTCCAATGTCGACCTAGCCAAGATGGCCGCCTTCATTTACCGGGGTCAGTTTGGGGATGATATGGCAGGGATGATCAATTTCCAGTAAGTCGAGACTTATCATGAAAAGTAGTTTCTTTGCAGTAATTTTATCATGAACAACTGCTGATTGTTGAGTCAATATTACTGTTTAGACAAAATGTTAAAGTCATGTTTGTGGTGTAAACATATATTTCCAAACGCCGAGAGAACAGTAAACGCTTATAGAAATCCATTTAAAATTCAGATCTAAAGGTCAAGGGTCATATTAAGCAAACGTACGAAGATCATGTCTGTAATACATGCACAACCGAGAATCTAAAACACCAAAACATTGATAATCTAAACAGCTATGGAAATGCAGAAGAAATATTAGGATATTTTCGTATGTATAGCTTCATGCTGAAGGTGTCGAGAGATCTGTTTATGCTTCCCGAAGGGAGAGCATATAGTCGGCGCACCATCCGTCCTTAAATTTGTTCGTCCGTTCGTCATAATTTTGTGCGGAGCACATCAACATGAAACTTTATAGGTAGATAGATCTCAAGAATGAAAAGTGCAGTATACAAGAACCATAACTCTCTTTTGCATAATTTAGGAGTTATTGAAACTTTATATTGCATTGGTACTAAGAGAATGTGCAGTATACCAAATACAGGGTATGTAACTGTGTGCTTAATTACAGAATTATTGCTTTTTGATTACATTTTGTGTCCAACAGAGCCGTTTTATTAGAGCATTCCTGTTTTACTGATACTCTTGTTATAGTTTTGTTTTTTGTTTTGTTTTTTTATCATTATTATTTGTATGATCTGCTGACATCAAAGTATCGTTGTCTGCATGTTGAGACTGCCATTTCATGTTCTAAATTCAACGTTTATAAGACCCAATTAAGATCCACATTGACATAAGAACTTAACGCCTTATAACCTAAAGATCAATTGTTTAATATGTTATTTTCATAGCGAAAACATTAATGCTCTGATCCCTCGGACCCATGCCAAAACCAAATCAGTCGAGGAGTGGCGAAAGGTCAGTACAATATTCACAGATACTTCATTACATAATACTCAATGTTATCAAGAATATGTAAAAATAATAAGAACAATAGGACCTTAGTTATAGGTACATCTTGCCAGGAACAATGCTTGATCGCATCCGAATAACGTGCATTTTACTATATATAAAACTATTTTATCTTCTTTTTTTCTGGTGATGATAATGGTTTCTTTTGTGGTGTCTTATATGTAAAGATGTTGTAACTGGTCAGAGTTAATCACTTGAGTACTTATCTGAACAGGCCGTACAGACCAATCTACAGCTGACCAAGGCACTTTCTCCAGACAAGGCCAAGGTAGAATTCCTGAAAACCATTTGGACATGGCCAACGTATGGGAGTGTCTTCTTTGAAGTCAAGGTCAGTTATTCTACGTATTCTACTGAGATTGCGGATTGATAACCTAACTCCAAGACCAGGGATACATTAAATAGTTTTAATATATGACATCACGTTAAGTTCATTAGACTCAATAGTGTACAACTAAACGATTGTACAAAAGACGGCATGTTCAATACAAATATATACATAATTAAATAAAGTGGAGCCCAATAGTGAATTAAACATACAACTGTGTCATCCTTCTAGAACTTGTTCATGATGCTAGGAGCTTAGATTTTGAAATCGCGAAGAAGGTAACTGGGAAAATACAAAGTGTGATCCAAAACAATGACAAATTCTTTATTTGGAGGCGCACAAATAATCCAATAAATTTCATAACAGCCATACAGTTGATGCTATAAAAAGTATATTCTGAACCGTGCTACTTTCCGAATTAATTAAAATGAAGCATGCATGTGACGATAAATCTAGGATGATAATAGTCCACCAGCACTATTTATCAACTGTTATCTCGAAGATTGTACATAATATATAAGTGAGAAAATATTTGAAAATGCATTGAACAGTAAAGTATGCATGTTTCATCTTACGTATATTTTGGAAAAGAGCATATGTATTTACCTTTATTTGGTTTAGACGAGAAAATATTACTACTTTTACACCAATATATATTGATATATAATGATAATATACTTGACCTTTACTTAATTTCCTTCAGATGTCATTGTATATCCCAAATATATTTCACCAAAACTTCTGACAATTGGGACGAGTCATTCTTTTGATATTTTGAAATTCTTTTGCAGCAAAGGATGATGAAAAATATGCCAAAGTATTTATTGCTTGCTGTCAATCCAAATGGCGTGTTATTACTAGATCCGGATTCCAAGGTGGGTTTTGTTTTATGGTGCCTTTATCCCATTTAGTCGGTAATAATCTTTGACATAATCGGCGACGTGTGAGAAAAGCCAGAGAAACTGTTTTGCTATGGGATTTCAATTATTGTTTCTCGTGCTTCTTAACTGTAATTTTCGGAATGAACTAGCTCTAAAACATTGAAATAACTATCAATGATATGGCTATTTTATGTTAAAATATGCTGTTACATGTATCTATTTTGTATTCTCACTTTCAAACGCTTCTCCATAAATGCATTAAATTGTGATCATGTGATTATGTTTACGTTTCTCTGAAAAAAATGACATCAATTTATCTCTGGTTCAGCATCACAGTTGTCTAAAATCCGACGCCACGATGCATCGTTAACAATGTTATTTTAATAACAAATTGTGAATTCTAATATATGTATTTGTACGAATATATCCCTTAAAGAAATCAATAATGATTCTGTTACCTATTCCATGTATCTAGTGTTCCAGCATTTTATACCACAGTTCACGAAATCAGGTATTCGCGAATCTATATGTAGAGATAAGTTCGCGAAATCTAAATGATATACTGTATGTATTACTCGTGACTCCTTTGTGTGTTACATTCAAAACAATGGCAGTTTACTCGGATGTGTTTTCTTTTCCCTGCATTGTAGGATATTTTGGCTAGTTATGATTACGGCAAAATTCCAAACTGGGCCTACGACGAATATTCCTTTACGCTTGTGGTTGGTGAATCGTCAAATGCTACAAAAATCTTCTTTGAGACAAGTGTGGTAAGTAACCTGTATATTTTGTACACACTAAATTAGTTTCTTGACTTTTGATATCCTTTGTGATTGAATCTAGATTTATGCATATTTTTAGCATTGGCTTGTACAGTGGAGAGATACTTATTTTTGTCTGACGATGGTGGCCGTGTAGATCTCGTACACTACGTACGTCAGTGTTAGTAAGCTCCACACTGGTCATTTGTCTGATGAAGGTGGCCGTGTAGATCTCGCACACTACGTACGTCAGTGTTAGTAAGCTCCACACTGGTCATTTGTTTGATGAAGGTGACAAATGTACTCATCGAAACGTTATCTGTGGATTATCTATAATTTCAGGGACACAACATTGACGACATTGTAATGTCATATGTAGCATGGACAATGAATACGCACATCAGGAAACGTCCCAAATACGCTGGTGTGACCGTCGGTGAATCAAGCTGCTAATAGGGCCTTGTTAACATTGAAGGCACTGCTGTAAAGATCAAAGATAGTACATTCTAATTTAGATTCAGCACCAGCAAAAAGATCTCATTCATAATACATTCCAGTTGGAGGTGAAAAAGACTAGCGGAAACGGTTGATATGAAACTAATGTTCAAGTTTGTTTGGAGAAGATATATAATAAGCTGAACAAAGTGTTGAAATTCTAATATTCCATAGTTCGAGGTTTCAACAAAAACAGGATAAAAATACCTTCACTGACGTCTTGAAAATGGTTTTCTGTTTTAATATTATTTTGGAGAGTTTTTTCACTTCCGAAAAATATAGAGTTATCAAGCTATTGTTAATTTTCATTTCATATACTTCAATTTTTGTATTTCTTCTTGTTAATTGAAAGAAAAAAAGTTTTCGCATATACTATGCTACGAAATAGTTTATATCATTGGACCATGTTAAGTTAAATGTCTCATTGCACATAATTTAATGCAAGATTTCACCAAACTGTAAAGAATTTACAATTTATATCATTGAAATCTATATATTCAATTATATTGATAAGTATTATAAATTCGATAGAATACACAATGAGCTCAGTTTTAGTGGTGTGCATAATACATGTAATATCAGAATTTATTACACGGGGAACAACTGGGTTTTTTTTATCAATATATGGTATTTATAAGATTTACTTTTATAAACAAGACAAATATTTGTTTCGATAAAACAAATATTTTCAACATTTTGATACAACAATATAGAACCTTGTTGTTTAGGAAAAATGAGCCATATTTGTTAAATTCAGTTGTGCCCTTATGCGGACAAAGTGAATTGACTTATACTTGTAAATGTCAGGGGATCGTTATAATGAGGTGATGTTGATCATATTTGTATTTGTGTTCATTTTACAAACATATTTGCAATCAATAAATAGACATATATCCATTGTTTTGTTCCAAATGATGTTACCATATGTGTTGATTTTAAATATGTAACATAGTTATTGTCTTTCAAAATCCATATCATATTTTAGTTTATATTATAGTGGCATTTTGTTGTTTTATAAGGTTCTGGCTGTTTCAAATGTGCCTTGTCCAAGAGACGATATCTTTAGTTTTCCAACCTTTTAAACAATTTTTACATTGTCAACAGGAATGTACATTGGAAAATGAGAACTTGTTGTTTTGACTAAGAGAGACGATGTCTTTAGTTTTCCAAACTTTTAAACGATTATTACATTATCAACAGGAGTGCACATTGAAATATAACTTCTAAATAAATGTTACAACCAAGTAATAAACTATGTTTTCAATCTGAGATAATTTAAATAACGAAAACTGCTGAACATTTCGGTTAACCTTCGGTAAAGCTAGTAGTGCCTCGGCTGCTAGCCCCTGTGGTTTATTGGATGTGGTACATTGTGGACAGGAACGTAAACAAATCCACAACTTGATATCAAATCCCAGTTATATCTATTAACGATGAGATATGTAACATGTGATGTTAATACTTTAGAGAAAATCTACTTTTGATAGTTTATTAGATATTGTACAATATACACTTGGCGAGAGTTTTAAAGTCACACTTCATCGCCAGTCATGCGTTGTATAACGTTTGTACAAATGTGCCCTAATATCAAGGGGCGTCTCCATAACAAATACTTGGAAATAGATGTGTGGTGTCAAATTTTAAGCCCGTGTTATATTGCCACTGCTACCACGGGTTTCTGTCTAGATCTAAAAGAAGTTATTAGATGTAGTCTAAGTACTTGTTTCTGTTAAATTTTTATTTGGTTCTCTTAGATCATCCGGTGATGTTCTATCTAATGATATTAGTAGATTCAACTTACCGTCCTCATAATGGTTTGTATCTCATAAATATTCAGCGAAAATCAAAATAGAATCTTTTGGACGCAGCCATTGGATTTACAAACTGTAGAGTAACAAACAGGCTGTGTTGTAGTTGTTACTAACATTTATACATTAATAAACCAATTATAATCATATGGAGAACGTTTTACTTTGAAATAAATATATATCGAATCTTGTCACATCTTCGTGTTACTGTATCAAAACGGTTACTTAAAAACGTTTGATAAGAGAAATGATCCTTTACAAAAATGTATGGTTATACAGAGTCAGTCTTTACAGAAATGTACGCTTATACAGAGTCCGCCTTTACAGAAATGTATGGTTATACCGAGTCAGCCTTCACAGAAACGTATGGTTATACAGAGTCAGCCTTTACAGAAATGTATGGTTATACAGCATCAGCCTTTACAGAAATGCATGGTTATACAGAGTCCGCCTTTACAGAAATGTATGGTTATACAGAGTCAGCCTTTATTGAAATGTATGGTTATACAGAGCCAGCCTTTAGAGAAATGTATGGCTATACAGAGTCAGCCTTTACAGACAGGGTTGGCTACACACAGATGGCCTTTACAGACATGTTTGTCTATACACAGTTGGCCTTTACAGACAGGGTTGGCTATACACAGTTGGCCTTTACAAACATATTTGGCTATACACAGTTGTCCTTTACGGACAGGGTTTGTTATACACAGTTGGTCTTTATAGACAGGGTTGGTTATCACAGTTGGCCTTTACAGACAGGGTTGGCTATACACAGTTGGCCTTTACAAACATGTTTGGCTATACACGGTTGTCCTTTACGGACAGGGTTTGTTACACACAGTTGGTCTTTGCAGACAGGGTTGGTTATACACAGTTGGTCTTTACAGACAGGTTTGGCTATATACAGTTGGCCTTTGCAGAAATGTATGGTTATACAGAATCAGCCTTTACCGGATTGTATGGTTATACAGAGTCAGTCTTTACAGAAATGTATGGCTATACAGAGTCAGCCTTTACAGAAATGTATAGTTATACAGAGTCAGCCTTTACAGAAATGTATGGCTATATAGAGTCAGCCTTTACCGGATTGTATGGTTATACAGAGTCAGCCTTAACAGAAATGTATAGTTATACAGAGTCCGCCTTTACAGAAACGTATGGTTATACAGAGTCAGCCTTTACAGAAATGTATGGCTATACAGAGCCAGCCTTTACAGAAATGTACGGTTATACAGGGTCAGTCTTTACAGCAATGTATGGCTCTACAGAGCCAGCCTTTACAGAAATGTACGGTTATACAGAGTCAGCCTTTACAGAAATGTATGGCTATACAGAGTCAGCCTTTACAGAAATGTATGGCTATACAGAGTCAGCCTTTACCGGATTGTATGGTTATACAGAGTCAGCCTTTACAGAAATGTATAGTTATACAGAGTCCGCCTTTACAGAAACGTATGGTTATACAGGGTCAGTCTTTACAGCAATGTATGGCTCTACAGAGCCAGCCTTTACAGAAATGTACGGTTATACAGAGTCAGCCTTTACAGAAATGTATGGCTATACAGAGTCAGCCTTTACAGAAATGTATGGCTATACAGAGTCAGCCTTTACAGAAATGTATGGCTATACAGAGTCAGTCTTTACAGAAATGTATGGCTATACAGAGTCAGTCTTTACAGAAATGTATAGTTATACAGAGTCAGTCTTTACAGACAGGTTTGGTTATACAGAGTCAGCCTTTACAGAAATGTATGGTTATACAGAGTCAGCCTTTACAGAAATGTATGGTTATACAGAGTCAGCCTTTACAGAAATGTATGGTTATACAGAGTCAGCCTTTACAGAAATGTATGGTTATACAGAGTCAGTCTTTACAGAAATGTATAGTTATACAGAGTCAGTCTTTACAGACAGGTTTGGTTATACAGAGTCAGCCTTTACCGGATTGTATGGTTATACAGAGTCAGCCTTTACCGGATTGTATGGTTATACAGTGTCAGCCTTTACCGGATTGTATGGTTATACAGAGTCAGCCTTTACAGACAGGTTTGGTTATACAGAGTCAGCCTTTACCGGATTGTATGGTTATACAGTGTCAGCCTTTACCGGATTGTATGGTTATACAGAGTCAGCCTTTACAGACAGGTTTGGTTATACAGAGTCAGCCTTTACAGAAATGTATGGTTATACAGAGTCAGTCTTTACAGAAATGTATGGTTATACAGAGTCAGCCTTTACAGAAATGTATGGTTATACAGGGTCAGTCTTTACCCCTGTGGCTCCTGATTTGAAAATAAACTTATTGTACTGTATTGTAATGTATTGTCAGCCTGTGATTTCATTTCCATAAGTACGTTAATATTTACCCTCCAATACATGTGCGGTAAGCCATCTTGACATCACCCAAATTCTCCCCACCATAATCCACACGTCATATGTCTGCTTAGCTAAGTATGTCATGTCTTTCTAAGTTAATTTCCATTTTGCTCTGAATACACACATCACTAGATGGTTCCACTTCGCTGAACTGCAGCTCCTGTACATGCCCATCAAAGTAGAGACGGTATTCTTCACATGACTTGTAGGCCTTCAGTTTACGTTTATCGTATGTTAATGTTTTATCTATAAGGAAATTTAACACGTCATATAGACTGTTGTCTGGTATGTAAATCTGCAGTGAAATCGTTTAGCGCAAACGGATCTGATATCCCGTACAGACTTCCGGGAGAAAGGGATCGATCATCATCTTTACATGTCAGAAATCAGGATCCATGGGTAAATTTATGGTTTCTACTGCTTTACACAAATCTATCAATTGTGGCTTGTTTAAATTTGTGGTGGAAATACCTCTGATTTTCAGATAGCGCTGCAGCTCGGGCACTTTCATGACAAGAAACGTCACTCGCTATGTTGTTATAGTAAACAAAAGCCGAGGAATGTCGGGTGTCACGTGACTAAGTGGATTCTAATCAAGGAGCCGGACGTGGTAAAAGACTAACATGAAAAGAGTCTAATAGGCATTACATTAATCATTATATGGATTGTTCGGTAATTACCGTTAAAAAACATTCTCTAATAATTTTGTACTTACAAACAAGTCCTTCTTCACAAACAAACCATTTCCCTACAGACATGTGTGTAGGTTGAAAT